TATAAGTCTTGCGTAATGTTTAACAGTAGGTGTGTTTCTCCTTGTGACCAAAAAAGTGGGCATTTCTTTTAAGCATGCATCTCTACCCCAGCCTTACAAACTGTTGATGAGTTGTTTTCTGTGCAACATATCCATGACAACACACAGAGGTGACAGTAAACGGGCAAGAGGCCACGTGTCGCAAACTGCAGTACAAACCCCAACTGTGTGTGCTGTATACATGTCCAAAGAATGCTTCATAAACCCACATCATACTGGCACATCCCACATGTCTTAATCGGAAAATACCCTGTTAAAAAAAGGCCTTATTCAGTATATCCAAATGGAATAAGTTGTTTACATGATCCAAATATCAAATTCAGAATATTGTCACATTTGGAATAATAGTGTGCACGTAAATGTATTCAATGCTATTCAAGAAGCCAGAGTTTTTAAGACTGGACTACAGAAACACTGACCCCAAAAATAGCTTCTGATGTCTTGAAACTTAAAATGACACATTAAAAAACAAATGAACCAAATCCCAACCAGGCTGAAAAACACTCCTTTGATTCCCATAGGAAAACACAGACTGGTGCGGTCAACAAGTCTCCCTGACGACCAGTTCCATCTGACGTTGTCCTCACCCAACAATAACACCATCAACACAAAGTGTTGTTGTAGTAGATAACGTCTGAGGCCTCACAGACAAAAATATTTTCTGAGGATACAGCTGACAGAAGACCGAAGGAATGCTGAGTGAGTCGGAGCGAAAACAGATTAGAGGCAGCGGTGACTCCAGCGCACACACTGCAGATGATGTAAGAGGGATGATAAAAAACCTCAAAGTGGAATTACAAGACTTTACTTATCAAAGGTTTTTAAGGTTTGATTCTCAGGGGATGGGGAAAAAACAGAAATACAGCAGAGCTTCAGGGTTATGACCAGAAAAGCTTCACTAACACTGATGATCTGTAAAAGTGCATAGAAATGGCAACACTGAGCATTTCTTCTACTAAAAAAAAATTCCTTGATTCATCACTGTAACCCGTATGCTCAGGTTGGCTGGCAGTCTTTACAACTTAACGTAGACTTTTTCATTGGCATTCTCTTGTTTACGAAGCTATTTCTGACCTACTTCCAGAATATTTACGAGTATACATAAAACAAAAAATTGAAAATGGCAATGCTCTCCATTCTGAGAACATGTTTTTATTGTCTGTACCAAGGGTACGTACAGAGTTTGGCAAGCAAGCATTTATGTCTGCAGTTCCTTATTTGTTAATTTTTTTATATTTTTTTTTATTTTTTCTCTTTTTTTTTTCTCTTTTTTTATACTCTTTTAAATTTTATTTTTTTTTTCTTTAGTTTTTTTTTTTTTTATATTTTTTTTATTTATATAAAAATATATTTTTATATTTTTTTTTTTTGAATTAGAAAATGGTTGGGTGGAGACCTGGTACCCTGTTGTGGACCAGATTTGGCGCACAAGCCATAAATTGAGTGTCACTGTCCTTAACTCCTGGGGGCTCCTGGCAAAAAAAAAGCCCATAGAGAATTAATTTATTCCTTATGCAACAAATGCAGTTAATTCAGATATAGCATAAATCCAGAGCAAAGCACTTTTTCTTATCCTTGTTCTTATTTGTTGCAGTTTGAATTATGTACTGAGTGTATTGTTTAGACATTTTTTAATGTCATCTTGTCCTGTTGTTACCTCCACCAAGGAGGTTATTTTTGTGGCTGGTTTGCTTGTTTGTCAGCAGGATTACAGCAAAACTACTGGCCTGATTCTCATGAAATTTGTTGGAAGGGTGTGGCACGGGCCAAAGAAGAATTCATCTTATTTTGGAGCGGATCCTAATCAGAGGGAGCATACACAAATTATTTTTCACCTTCTTTAACATTGCGAGATAGGGCACTTGGCTTTGGCAGAGGTCTGTTGCTGTCCAAATGCCCTCATATTTTTATTGCATTTTCATTGTTTTTGAAACTACAGATTTTTCTTTCCAAGGACAATGAAGAGATGAACTGCACAAATCTGACTTGACTTGAACTATACAACCAGCCAAGAGTCAAGAAGCTCAGATAATCAAAACAGGTGTTGTAAATGACTCATTTTCATTCAGGGACAGACCGCTGAGGTAATTAAATAATTAATTGATTTGTCAATCACCAAAGAACAAATTGACAACTTGACTTCACTTAAATGTGACAATTCACTGCTTTACTCTGTAAAATACATATATTTTTAGGATCTGGACAGTTGGTCGAGCAACAGATGAATAATGACGTCACTATATTCTAACATTTTACACAATAAACAATTAAATGGAAAACTAAACAGTTAAATCCATAATGAAAATAGTAATTAGCTGCAGCCTTAAGGCAACAACAATTGTGCCAAAATGATCAAGGAGATTAAATGAAATGACTAATTTCGGAGATCACCTGCGGTAAATGGTATTTCAATCCTTTAATGATGGACTGCAGATAAGACTGTCACTCCAACAAATGAATAAAAAACAAATTATAAACACTCTGTACGTATACACGACTGCCTCAGGACAGGCCAAGACTAATGGCATCAAAGTGCCGTCTCAGCTGCTGTAAATCAAAGAACCTCCTTGTTTTGACAACAGCCATATATATGCAGGTTCTAATCAAAGGAATGCACCCACCCACAGCAAAGGCCTCTGGGAAGCGGCTGGACACACCCCAATGTAACACCCACCCTGAATGGTTTGTCAGTGTTGTGACAGTTGCTGGTCCTATGATTATGAACAAAGTGCTGTTGGAGGCAGGGTGTAGCTGCACATAAAAGGGAGCACGCATGTGCAGTGAATCGCCTCCAGCTGTAATTACGAGATTTGAAAAATAAAAGACACTTGTTGTGCTACTGCAATTTCACACACCGACATGTTCCCATGTTGAGGTTTCATGCTGGTGGGTGTGTCTGCGCTGAACAAACATGGATTCCACACCACCCTGCATTTTTTTTTCCCTTCTTTGAGTTTCTCAATTTGGAAAAACAGCTCCAACGTACAACAGAAAGATCAAACTTCCAACTGTGAATCATTGGGAGAGTTGGCACCACCCACACTGCTGACTTGGAATTTTACTTGAATGGAGAACGTGAGAGACATTTGGTTGAAAAATGTGTCTTTTTAGAAGTCTATACACTTAATGTGTCCACTCTTACAGGCACACCTGTGCAGTCTAATGCAATCCAGCACAACTGTTGAGCTAGTGGTGGTGCTCTACTGTCCATCTCATCCATTTTCATCTGCTTATCTGGGGCTGCCTGCGGGGGCAACATGCTGAGCGAAGTACTCCAGATGTCCCTCTCCCCAGCAACGCTTTCCAGCTCCTCTAGGGAGTTCCCACAGCGTTCCCAGGCCAGATGAGATATGTAATCCCTCCATCGTGTTCTGGGTCGGCCTCCTACCAGTTGGACGTGCCCGGAAAAACTGTTATGGGAGGCACCCAGGAGGCATCCTGATCATATGCCTGAAACACCTCAACTGACCCCTGAGCAGCGGCTCCATTTCAAGCTGCCTCCTGATGTCTGAGCCCAGCTGCCCTACGGAGGAAACTCATTGCAGCTGCTTGTCTCCGCAATCTCATTCTTTCAGTCACTACCCAAAACTCATGACCATAGGTGAGGGTTGGGACTATCTGACCAAATGTCTCCAACTCTGTTTTTGATATATGATGTTGATTATTGGCAGAAAACGTGTTTTTTCAGAACAATATGATGTCACAGTGAAGCTGACCTTTGACATTCGGATAGAAAATGTCATCACATCATTATTTTATCCTGTTAGACACTTGTGTGAAATTTTGTCATAATTACTGCATGAATTCCTGAAATATGGCCAAAAACATGTTTTGTGGATGTTTGTGGTCAAAGTTCAACGTGACCTTTGACCACCATTCTAGTGTTCTTGAGATACTTGTCATGAGAATGACACAGACGAAGTCACAGCGACCTTAACCTCTGACCTTTGACCACTAAAATCTAATCAGTTCATCTTTGAGTCCCAGTGGACATTTTTGCCAAATTTGAAGAAAGTCCCTCAAGTGTTCTTAGGATACTGCATTCACGAGTATGAGACAGACAACCCAGCCACAAAATGCTCCCGGCCACAGCTATCACCAGCGTGGACACATAGAAAGTGGCAGAGCGTCGTTCTGGGTGTGTCTAATATTCTGACCAGCTAATGTACATTAACAGAAAGAAACACCCCTAAATATAATGTAATCCAGTACAACACCACCTTTAACTATGACCTCAGTAATGAATTAATTCACACGAAATGCAGTAGTAACAACCCTTGCATGTGAAAAACGTTCCATCGTCAGCCACAAATGCTTACCGAAGTAGTTTTCTACCTCTAATACATCAAACATGTTGAGACTTTGATAGTTATAGATGCTATCTGTGTGGTTTCATCTCTAATTATCAGTTTCACAATGGTTTAATACTGAACGCTGCATTTAATTGTCATGCTACACTTCATTGCAATGCTGATGCAAGACCTCTCTCTCAGTTTCTCTTATCAACTTGAGTGATGTTTTCAGAGAGCGGGATTACCTGCAGCTTGTCGCGACAAGTTAGAGGCTCATTTGCTTGAGAGTATTTTGTGTTCGCCAAAAGTCATTGACTTCAGGTGTCTGTCGATGGGGTTTACACCTGAGGTCAGAGTTTTTGTTTTTGTGTGAGATTAGAGGTTTGCTTTTTGTGCTTATCCTCTCAACTCTCTCTCAACTCTATGTTTGAGGACACACATCTGTGTGTTATCACAAAAATAAGCACAAAGTAAAATGGGTGACAAAAAGCCGAACTAAAATAAACTGCGCAAGACTTAACAAGGCTTCTGCTTCATAGTTTGACACTAAGGGGATGGACACATAGTTGTGTGGGCGCCAGGTTTTACCAAAAAGAAGGCTTTCATGCGGAGTTGAAGTCGGAGTTTTGTGTATGGTGTTTGTGTGTGTGTGTGTGTGTGTGTTCTTGCCTCCTCCTCGGCACTCGGCTCAGGGCTCTTGATGGGACTGGACGACTGGCTGAACACTGATGAAGACTTCCCGCTGATGCTCTGAAATAACAGACAAAGGAGGGAGAGAATAAAGAGGAGACTGTCAGAACTGAACAGAAAAAAACACTGGGACATATTCATAGAACAATCTAAAAGTACAAATATGACAGTGTTAAAAAGAATCAAGAGAATGCAATTCCTGATGCTACACTGCAATGCTGGCTTTAAATGCTGAATAATACCATTAGTGTATGAATAATGTGGAATAAGATTTCTGGTCTCGGTTAATATTGAGTTCAAAGCCGCAGTTAGTGGTGTGTCTTTCACTTTCAGGCTCACTGTGCCAAATATCTAAGTCAGATTTGAAAGAGCACAAGTTGTACTCCATTTTGACCAAAACATATGTATGTGGAGTGAAAATTGTGGGCGTGACAGCGAGGTAAATAGAAATGTTTAAGAAGCTCTCTGCACTCTGACTCTAGCTCTAAAACATTTCGTCCCATAGAAACCAACGTGAAAACCTGAAAAGGGCATTTTTACCAACAACAACTCTGAATATTTCAAAACGTTTGAATGAAATTTTAAAGTTGAACACAGGCCAGAGTGTATGAAAGATGTGGAACATTTTAAAGTTTTAATGGAGTTTCCATGTGAATGTATGAATGAAGAAATAGGCTTTGAAATGCTTGAAAAACCTTGGATTTGCATCACATTGTGACATTCATTTGAATGGGGAAATTTTCCCAGAAAATAGTGAATATTTCAAAAAGTTTGAATGGGATTTGAAAGTTGAATACAGGCCAGAATGTATGAAAGATGTGGAACATTTCAAAGTTTGAATGGAGTTTCCACGTGAATGTATGAATGAAGAAATGCTTGAAAACCTTGAATTTGTGTCACAGTGAAACACTCTCTCATTTGAATGGGGAAAATTTCCCCGGAAAATGGTGAATATTTCACAAAGTTGAAAGATACGAATGATATAAACATACAAGCACGCATGTCCTGATTAAGCTGAATATTTTGATGCTTGAATGAAGTTTCTATGTTAAAGATTGTGGAGGGAGCAGTGTCACAAAAAAGTGAGCAGGATTTTTGCAAATAACAGAGTAGGAATGCTTTGTAGCATTCCCACCTAATTAAATACACATAGGTTAATGGCAGTGGCCAGTTCACAGCTGACCAACAATATCCAACAAAGCAAAGTCACATGTTGAGTTAAATACTGTCAAAAGTGCAAGTGCATTTATCAGTCTGCACCCAAGCTAACCTGTCCATTTCTTGGACTGTGGCTGCTGGCCCAGTGGAATATGGGGGAATCTGTTCATTCAGGAAAAGCTACAAAAATAAGTTTCACTTTCATCTGGGTAAAAGCAACATGCACCACGGAAGATACAAATGCTGAGTCAACCATAACACACTGATGTCACTACACGTTACAGTTACATCTCCACATCAGTCTCTGTGGCATTGAACTTTGGCACATTCCCTGGTCAATATTTTGCGCATTCCTGCACAAAACTGTTCAACTATTTCATTTTTTAAACAGAGATATTACACATATTTTCATAGTATTTTTTCATATTTCTAATTTTTTCTATTCACTATTTATGTTTCTTTACTTCTGCAGTTGCTTGCTATTTTTTCTTACTATGTTCATTGTTATGCACCAAAACAACAAGGCAAATTCCTTGTATGTGAAAAGCTACATGGGCAATAAATCGGTTTCTCACTCTGATGGCAATTATGGACTCCAAATGACCTGCATTTTTTTTCTCATCAGGAAAATAAATTGACCCTTTTAAAATGTGCTGCATGTCACTTTTAACCTTGTATTTTGCGCAATAAAAACCATCCCTGCTTCCTGATAGCGTGAAGAGGATGTTGGTACTTGTCTATGTGCGCTGATGTCACACTAAAGGCATGAGCAAAAAACAAAAGTTGAATCAGAACCAGTAACAGTCGAGATAAATTCACACGAGGTAAGATGAGGTAAGATGGGATGTGTCTGCTTACACTAACACCTCAAAACCTATTGATACTTAATAGAAATAAACATTTTGCATGACACACTGTGTGTCATCTGAAGCTCAAAACCTTTACACAGACAAAGTCCAAAGCCGATAAGAAACCCTGCAGTCTAACCTCTGATCATTGCAATCTAATGCAGCTGAGGTGATCCAGCCAGGTGTAAGAATGTGTTTGTCTTCAAATGTGAGGGTGTGCCACCTCAGCTGAGTCAGACCGGGCGTGGCACTGCGTCTCTATCCAACACATCACAGGCATTTAGCTCTGAGTGCAGTGACTCCAACAGCAGAACCTGAATGTGTAAATTATCAGGACAACAAGCAGCCAAGAGGGAGATCCAGAAGGAATCCTCCCGACACTGTGCTGCACTCAATACTAGAAAGAGATCGAATAACACCAGGAGCTGAGGAAAGAGTTAGAGAGAATATTTTCATCAAAGAGGCAGAGGGGGAGGAGGAGGATGTGGGAGAGAAGATATCATTCAAATGTTTTCAGCCTACAGTGGAGGCCTTGTGTAAACCATCCCAAGGGCGAAAGGGCAAGTTATTCAGGAAGTGATATATCAGAGCACAGCAGGGAAGGGTTTGCTGAAGAGACTTGCAGGTGCAGGACCTGACCGGTTCCTCGGAAAAAGTAATCAATAGAGAGTCAGAGGTTAACAGGTGACAAATCCTGAGGCCTTCTGCACAGTTTGTATTGATCAATAGGACCATACAGTTATTATTGCCACATATCCTGGCAGTGACACAGCACCCATTAATCAATTAGTCAACCGGCAAAGGGCAGAAGTGGCAAGAGTTTCTTAATCCTCCAGTGAGTGCCAGCAAATAATGTTAACCTTACCACAGCTAATTCTGTCAGGAAGAAAAAAAAAAAAAACACTTTAAAACCCGATTAATGGGAATAAAATGTTTGATACACATGCCATACCTTAGTTTCAGTACCGATACCAAACAAATTTTCTACAAAATGTTTCCCTACTTCACCTCACCTTGAGAAATACAATTAAAACTTAGCAAACTTAAAGGTCCCATATCATGCAAATTTTCAGGTTTATGCTTGCATCTGGGGTTTTTATAGGAGCATATTTACGTGCTTTAACATTAAAAAAACACATTTTTGTTTTCAAGCTGTCCGCCTGAATATGCACGTTTTCACCCTCTGTCTGAAACGCTCCATTTTAGCGCCCGTCTCTTTAAGCCCTCGTCTCAAAAAAGCCCAGTCTGCTCTGATTGGTCAGCATTTGCGGGTCTTTTACATAAAAATCTGAGCAGATATTCCATGTCAACTTAGGTTATTTGACAGCTGCAGACAACATCAGCATTTCAGTCAGTGCCTACAAAGTATTGAGGTGTGATACCAAGCTCCAATTATGGATCATGATTGTGAGTTTCTTTCTTTCTTTTATCGTTTTTCAAAGATGACTTTTTGGCATTTTTAGCTTTTTAATGACAGCAGCTGAAAGAGACAAGAAACATAAGGACAGAGTGGAGGGGGCATTAGGGCTGCAGCTACAATTATTTTCATTGTCGATTATTCTGCCTTTTGTTTTCTCGATTCTTGATCGGTTTGTCTACAAAATGTCAGAAAATAGTAAAATAAGGCCACACAGTCCAAAATCCAAAGATATGTAGTTTACTATCAAAAGAAAAGAGACATTTAAGAAGTTGGAAACAGCAAATATTTGATATTTTTGTTAAAACAAACTGACTTAAACAATTATTTGAATATCAAAATAGTTGCCCATTTATTTTCTGTCCATCAACTTATTGATCGTTGCAGCAGATAATGCAGTAGATAATTATGGCTGCAACCAACAATTATTTTCGTTGTCGATTAATCTGTTGATTATTTTCTCAATTAATTGATTAGTTGTTTGGTTTATTAAATGTCCGAAAATGGGAAAATTGTCCATAAGTGCTTTCCAAACCTAAGTTTACGTCCTCAAACATTTCGTTTTGTCTGCAACCTCCCAAATAAAATCACATTACGTCACATAGGAGTAAAGAAACCAGAAAATATTCATATTTCAGACGCTAGAATCAGAGAATATTAACTATTTTTTACACAAACAGACTGACTGATTATCAAATTAGTTGGCAATTAATTTAACAGAGATAATATGCAACAAGAGTCCCCTGCCAAACTCAAAGTGCACATGTTTACCCAGTGGTCTTAAATACAAGGCTACCAGGATGATGCCTGACCACTATTTTTGTACATTTTGCAAAGTGTAACCAGCAAATAACTGATGAAATTGAAAAGACACATTACACCCTGCTTCTAAATTCAAAAGATAAATAAATAAAAAAGTGAAAACTGTTCTTAAATACTATGTTTTTGTGGCTGCATGACTATCAAACCTAACGTGCAAGTTTGACATGCTCTGGAACAGTGTGTGATTTTTAAAACACATGCACCACTGGTGGAAAACTACGCCATCAGCTGATCCCTCTGTCCATCATATTCACCCATTTTAATCTGGTCATAGGTTGTGAAAATCCAAAGCACAGTGTCAGAGTTAATAAGTCGCCGCTGCATGAGAAGCACGCTGCTGGTGTTCTTCTGACACCTGCAAAGCTTGTCGATCGCTCTCCTGCTCCAGGGACTGAAAGTGACGTGACTGACAGACTAATAAAGCATCCAAGACGTTTTAACAGCCGACTGTGATCAGAGTACGCGTGCGCTCTTTCTCAAAGCAAAAGGCACAATTAGATATAAATGCTGACATTGAACTGGAACTACAACTTTCACAACCTCTTACCAAACTCTGTCCAATAAGAAAGCTGCACATGAGGCAGTTTAGACGCCTGGGAACACCAAGCAACAGGTGAAATAAGGGACATGAAAACATGAAAGTTCAAATAACAATTAAATCTGCAGCTCTCCTCGTCCCACTTACAAATTAGGTCTGATGATAGCTGAGGCACAAGTCATAGATGGATGTGTAAACTGAAGCCAAAAACAAAAGGGCCCCAAAATTATTTAATTACGCCTGCAAAGGTCTGTTTGATCCTTTCACATTAAGTGATTTAGTACAAAAATAAATGCAGAAAAATAATTTTATTTAATATTAGAAAAAATAATAAAATTTAAAAAATATTAATATAAAATACAAAGTATTTCATATTAACTGTGTTAATGTAAAATAATAATAATAATAATAATAATAAATTAAGGGACTGATTATTCCTTCACCAGACTTTCAGTTCTGGCAATGTAAAATTGAGTTCAACAATTATAAAACAGTTAACAAGTGACATATTATATATGTATATATTTTTTTAAATGTTAATATCAATAAATATAGAAAGGAGAAAAAGAAAAAAATACCAAATGCTAGAAAAAAATATGAAAATATATTCAGTGTAAATGCTTTACTATCAAAAAGTAATAATAAAATGATAAAATATGAAATTAAAATAAAGAGATTTAGTGTTTAAAAATAAAAATAAATTAAATCAAAAAGGGTTGGGTTGGTATGCTAGATAAAAACATTTGAATTAAAATAATTAAAAATATATCAACTTTAATTTTGCAGAAGAGGTAAATGTATACATGTCTGTTGGTATTGTTGGTATTGAAACGTGGTTGATTGTTGATGTGCAGAGTGCAAAAATCAATTTTAGGAAAGCCATCTGCCTGCAGGGGTTTGATGGGTACAGTGGTTTTAAACCAGCTTGTATGTTGGGTTTTCACTCTTTATCACTAGTGTTGTCTGTAAATATCAGTTATGGAAGGTTCAGATTATTAAACTCATTCATTGACCAAATAAAATGAGCTCTGACCTGCATAATGTTGATGTTTAGGGAGGAAAAGTTTGGTTCCAGCCTATAATAACAATAGTTTTAACAAGCATTAAGAACATGAGTCTCACTTCTACCGTGCTCTGCTGCTGGTACATGAGATCGGTGGACTCCTGGCTGCTGACGCTCAGGTGCGGCATGCTGTGCAGGTACACCGGGGACACCATCTGCTGCACCATGGGCTGCTGCATGAGGATGTAGGACGGCTGCTGGATGGCCTGTTGCATCGGGACCAGGTAACGCACCGTCTCGTAGGAGCCGTTCATCGCGTACGGCAACGGGGACACCGGTGCGGCCGAGATCACCGTGCTGGTCACCGGCTCCGGAGAGGCCACGTTCACGGTCCGGTAGGTCGTCGTCGTCGTCTTCTTCTGGCTCGAGACGGACATCTTGGTGGATCAGCTCAGACCCCCCACAAAACCCGGAGAGAGAGGAAAACAACAACCGCAGAAAGTTGGAAGTTCTCAAAGCGAGGAAGTCGCTGCGGGACGAAACCACGCAGGTAGTTTTTCCTTCAGCGGTGGCGCGACGGAGAGCTGAGTTCCCCCGGTGTAACTTCCTTCTCTGCTGGGCAAACTGGAGAGGAAAGTCCGGTTGGAGGAGTTCTTCAATGGAGAGGAAGACCCAACTACAGAGGGAGGTCGCTCTGCCTGCGAGTACTCTTCAGGAGGTGGGAGGGATCAGAGGGGAATGTGGCTCACAGCTGGCAGGAAGTCGGACCTGATTGCTCTGCCAAAAACCAGGGGGGTTCTCCAGGTGCTCCTCCTACATGCAGGATTGGACGATTTAAACCGCTCCTAAATTCTGGGGAATGCGTGTGAATTTCCACTGTCGTGATTTATTGTCAAGAGTTGACAGACCTGTAGATTTACTCCATAGTAAGAAGAATACCTGTAGAATAGTAGGCAAAGTGAAGTAAGGGTAAAATGGCTGCTGAGTCTCAGTCAGCCACTAGGTGGAGACAAACACGCCAATGACGAGAGAGACCTGTTGAAGGTTTGAAAGCATATTGTCACAGGACTCAGTTATATCTAGTTAATATCTATCTATCTATATCTGCAGCCAGTCATTTTAAATCAGTTTATTTGTCACATGAAATCTCACAAATACAATTTAGGTGAAGGTCAGTTTCTTAATTTTGTGCATTAAAAAAGAAATGTGCCCATTCTCGCTTCGACATGGTAGTCCAGAACTCAAGATTTTGTTTTATTTTATTCATTTATTTAGTTTTTCATTGACAAATGCTGTGCGTGGTCGCTCATTTTATTTGTGCAAAAGTATGTTGAGTAAAAGTACTCAATATTAAATAATAGACAGAGAAAACTACTGTGAAAATTGTGAAATAATCTAATAATTCTTATGACATGCTTATTGTCACAGTACCACCATTTATTGGTCACTTTTATTTTTATTCCGGGTAATGTGGCTCAGTAAATGTGGCTGGGAAAATGTATAGCATTAAACAGAGTGCCTGGCCTTACTTTGTAAAATGAAAATATTCAAATAAAAACAATTTTTTTTTTTTAGATTATTAGATTTTAGATTTTTTTTTTTTTAAGATTTAGTATTTGAAATCACTGACTTAAATTTAAAAAAAGGTTGGGTTGGTATATTAAATAAATACATTTAGAATAAAATAATAAAATTAGAGGGGGAAAAACACGAAGGTTTTATATGTGTATTTTTCTGCAGCCCTACGTGTAGTTCCTGCTGATGTCCACGAGGGGGCGCCAGTGAACCAGAAACCAGCAGTGACACGTCAAACTCATTCTGAACTTTTAAAGGTTGTTTTTAACGTTGTAATTTTTGTCCTTCACCACATTTCATGGAGGAATATTATACTTTAACTACTATAGATTCAATATTTTAAATTGATCGACTACAGGCAAAATAGAAGAACAAAAGTGTCGAGAATAATTGATTAAAAAAGTGCACTTATATAATTAATAAAATTTGCAAATAATATATTTCAAATATGCAACATTGATAAAATTAAGGGATCAAGCATTTGACATGATGCATTGAAATAATCTAAAAAAATCAATATGATGAGATTTAGTTTAAAAAAATAAATGCATTAAACAAAATCAAATTAACTTAAAAAAATAAAATCAACAATGTCTAAAAATGAAATATTTCAAATTCACTGTGTTTATGCAACATAAATAAAGTAAAGGGTTGTAGTATTTTTTTCATCAGACTTTAATTCCTGCCAAAGTGGAATTTAATTAAGCAATTATAAACCATTAATACATGATGGATTATACATAAAAACTGAATATTTGTAAATACCAACAATTAACCAAAAAATTACCAAAAAATAATACAAATAGGAACAATACAAAATGAATACATTCAAATTATAAAGTAAGTACATTCAAATTATAAAGTAAAATAATAATAAAAATAAATTTAAAAAATAATGTAATTTATTATTAAAAAATTGATGCATTGAATTAAATCAAATTAACTTAAAAAATAATAAAATCCATACTTTAATAATTTAATTTAAATAGGCTAACAGAAATGAAGGAATGAATATTAGTAAATAAGGCTAGCAAAAAAAAACTAACAAGTACAGTAAAAGACTTTAGTATTCAAGATAAATACGATAAAATGACAAAAAAAAATTTTTTAAATAAATGGATTTCGTATTTAAAAATAAATGCATAAAATTGTATGTATGTGTATATATATATATATATATAGAGAGAGAGAGAGAGAGAGAGATAGATAGATAGATAGATAGATATGTATATAATTAATATTTAAAATATCGACTGTGTTTATGCAACATAAATAAAGCAAAGGGATTTAGTATTTCTTCACCAAACTTTAATTGAATGAAGCAATTATATACCATTAATACATGACGGATTATATATATTAATACAAATAAATACAGTACCAAGCCTTTAGTGTTCAAAATGAAAACATTAAAATGATAAAAATGAATAGCTAAAATTAATTTAGAAAAAATAAAGGGAATTATTATTTAAAAATAAATGCATTCAATTAAACTTAAAAAAAGGATTGGGTTGGAATATTAGATGAAGACATTTAAATGTAAGTCGTAAAAGTAGAGGAAAAAAATGTAAACACATTTTATTTATCAGTTTGTTGTGTCTGCAGCTCCGCTTGTTGCCATGAGTCATTTTTCAGAACTCCCGCGATGCACCGCGAGAACAGACGTTGAGCTGTTAAATGAAGGGAACAGTTCCTATTTGTTGGACGATAATGGCTGCTACCCAGCAACTCTGTTTTCTGCGCGGTCCAGTCGACATAGGAGGGCCATCTTTATCTGAATCGTCGTCCTGAAGCCGCCATTACCTCCGGTGAGATAAAATAAGGCAGACAGCAGTGTGTTATCAACCGCTGGTCGTCGTCAGCCGATGGGCATCTTGTCCTTCGGCCAGTTTCGGTTCCGTTATCTTCGTTCATCCAACTCACCCGCTGCAACCAAACTACTGTGTAAAAATGAATAATTGAACAATGCAACGCTTCTTGGTTGATTTACGTAAATGTTAAAACTCGACTAAAGACATTTGGCGGATGTTTAGCAGCCATTCTTCATATCGGGATATTTTTGAATACATCATTCAGTATCTTTAATAGTAAAAAATATACGTTTTGATCACCGGCCCCTCCGTTTCCCCCGCTCACCGAAACGCAAAATAACGAGCAGCCTGTGAGATAATCTTGGGAATAATGTTTTCAGATCTTCTGTAGATGTTTGCTGACTTTACGATGACATCATCGGAATATCGAAAGCATCAGACAGTAATATACCTATCACTTCCATTGCCTTTAAATCACCTAAAAATCCCGAATGTTTCAATGGAGTTCTGTGAGGAGAACCCTGTGACCCTATCGCGGATACTGCTGGCAGAATTGTGCGCTGTATATGTGAATTTCACAGCATTCCTGAGAATGCATGCATCTTCTAATTATATTTATAATATGCTGTGTAAACTGCAAGGCTCGCTCGATCACCCACACTAGATGAAACAATTTGAAGTAAACCTGTGGTCAGTAACGTTAATGCAGCGCCGCCGCCGCTGCTGCTGCTGATGCTGCATGCTGTTATGTAATCCAGCCTGTCTGCCGTCATCCTCTGGAATATCCCTGCAATCATGTAACATGTAATCATAACGGAGCTTAAGCTTCCTTTGTCATACATATATCTTTTTCTCTCTTCCAGTATCCCTTAATCGCCATTTTGTGAAAATTACCACAAAGAAAACCTGTAGTTTAATATCTTAAAGCCTGTCAATCAATCCAACATTGCAAACGCATACAAAGCAAAGCATTGTTTAAACCCACACTGGTTTTTATCATTTTAGTGGAAATGTTAGTGTTTGTAAAGAGTATGAGGGTTTCTCTCCAAATTAAATGGATGAGATTGTCACACAGTTTTCATCTTTGACCTTTACTGTCTCCATAGCTGCTTCTCTGGCCTGGCTGCCGACCCACGATGCATTGCCAGAGGGCTTCGGGTGTCTCATACAGACCGATGTAACTGTTGCCGCTGCCACTCACCAGCCAGTCCACATTGCACAAACACAGCCAAAAGGTAGGAACCTGTTCTGTCATTTTTTGTTTTTATCTCTTATACATCGCTGCTGTAATCTGAGGCATGTAGACGTGTGGGAAAGCATATAAAGAATGAGGAGAATGAAAGGTTGCAGAATAAAATGTGTTTGATGCAGAGAAGACTCTCTCATCCTATTGTGTTCTGTTACTTACCTCTGTATGTAGACGTAGTGATGCGGAAATCTCTTTGTCTTTTCTTGTCCAGGTCCTGTCCTGCTTGATCTTGTTCATCATTTTACTGAAACCATGTCTGGCCCAGGGGACTTACCAGGTGAGTATTTGTTGTCATGTGAGCTCAGCCACTTAGTTCCTATAAAGGTAAATTTTAATGCCATAACATTTTAGACGATAGTGTGCACTGAACTTTGTGTTTCAACATGACAGTGACCCCCCATACCAACACCGGCCCACAAAAAAATGTTTTCCCCCTCCAACAATTTGGGATGAAATGGAAACACTGACTGTGAGCCAGGCCTTAATGCTTAACATCAGTGCTGGATCTCACTGAATGGGCTGAATGGGAGCAAATTGCTGCAGCCAGGCTCCAAAATCTTCTGAAAAGCCTGATTTGGAGGCTGGAATGACACATACTGTCCACCCTAACTGTGCCCACACACTCAGCTGGGATTCAACGAGTCACTGCATCTTTTCACCAAAGCCTTCTGCTAGTTTCTTTGAGTTTGAACTTGAATGCAGCATTGCGGTTACAACTGGAAGCAGACAGAGGAAATACTGGCTTGTTGCGTCACACACATAACGGGATTACACAGATTGTTTTGTCTCTCACACCAGTCAAATCTGTGTGGATGTGAATCCCACACATTCATCCTGTGAGTCACACTGAATCACACATTGTTTATTAGTATCTATTCATATTCATACCCACTGGCTCAAAGACAATTTTTAGCTAAACAAGAGCAGAGTCCCATGGCTGTAGGAATGCCTCATGAAATTGGAGCTTCCAGCAGAAGCAGCCATTACCCGACAGAAATTGTAAATCTAGTAATTCAGCAAGTCTCAGGTATCCGCTTTTTTGCCCACTTTTGAATGTTTACACAAGTAATAATATAATAATTATTAGTCTCATGGATGTGTTACTGGATGGGCCTACTGGGCACAGGCCAAGGGGCCCAAAGAGTCAGGGCCCTCCCTCACCTTTACCTGCAAAATGTCACTCAAAGAGACATGTAGCAACCAGGAAGAGACTCTAAATGATCACTAAGAAACATAAAACAACTTCAAAGGGATACAAAAAGACCACAAGGAGATGTAAAACAGCTTAAAAGAGACACACAGACTCAATGTGACTATAAAAATGGGCAAAACAACCTCATGAGACCCAAAGCAAGGACAAAGGGACTCAAATTGACAACTAAAACATACAAAAATAACACAGTGACACATCATAGGACTACGAAGAGATGCAAATTGAACACAATGAGACACAAAACCACAGAGAGATGTGTAACGACTACAGAGACGCAAAACAGTAACAACTATGAAGTCTGTGTGTCTTGCTTCTATATAGGAGAGGTGGTGGGGCCTTCTGTGTATATCTACCCAGGGGCCCATTGTCTCATAATCCACCAATGATTAAGTTTACACCAAAAATATGCACCATCTTAACAATACCCTGGTTTCTGAACCCAGGTCATAATCCTAACATGCAGAAACACATGAATGGAATACTCCCAAAACTGATGTACGTTCGCATGTGTCACTTGCTGACTTACCTAACGTCATGGAGCTGAAGGGTATGCTGGGAGACTTGCCAGCTAGTGAGGCAGTTAATGATTGTCCTTTTTCTGGGACATCGATTTCAGTTGGTTTCTGCCGAGCCGCTGTATCAGACCGGTGCGCTCTCTGTAACGGAACATGAAGAGGAAATTGTTGTTTAGTTGCCATTGTTGTCTGTATCCGCAGCCATAGAGGACTCCGGGATGGGCGGGATGAAGCTTCCCATCGGGATGACCCGACGGGGCCTCAGCTACGACGATAACCTGGAGGCCCCGATGTCCACGCCCCCCCACGACATCAGCATCAACAACCTATGGAGACGACCCATCATACCGGAGAGAAAGTTCTCACATCTGGCTGAGGTGACAGGGCTTCCACAACACACACACACACACACACACACAGAGCTGCTTTACTATTATCGTATTCTTATTCTCACCTGTTTGTCATCAAGAGGAAGGGTGGAATGCAGTGTGCAGATGATTGTTGGTGTGTTTTTTTTTTTTTCCACTAGGAGGATGAGAGTGGGACAGTGAGAAAGCCTGCAATGCCGGACAGCACCTCCTCCAGGTCATCAAGTGTAGTGAAAACCAAGGCCTCCTCTGTCATCATGAATTCTCTCATCACCAGTATGCTACATCTGTAATATTCTCTATTTAAGCAGAACTTGTAGTTATTTATTGTCATGTAAACAAAACAAGGAAAATCTTCGATGCCCACGACCTTTTAACACAAACCTTTTATAGTCACCTTCTAAAGCTACAGGATCAGGATGTTGATATTTACAAAATGGATCGTCACTTGAAACAAATTTTTTAAAAAAAACGATTTTCTCTCTCTTTTGCTTTTCAGAGCAGACTCAGGAAAGCATGTACAAGTTTGAGCAGAGGGCAGGGCTCACTGACACCAGCTACACTCCCCACAAAGGCCTCACCGCCGAGGAGACGAGACACCACCACCGCCTGCCCGAATCACTCCACGTAAGACCCAAGTTTAACACACAGACCGCACCACATGTGTACAACCAAGATGCAGGTAATAATTTATCAGCAGGTGTTCCAGCCGCAACAGAAGGGTCTGTGTTTTACAGGTAGATAGTTAAACTGTGGTTCACCGAGAGCTCCAGGAGGTGGCAGTTTTGTAGGGCTCTAAAGGCTTTATATATTTTTCTCATATGCAGTAAAACTCCTCAAGAACGAAAGAAAGAGTTCTGGTCCATGAAATGAAATCTACCTACCTGCCGAGACATCTAAGATTTAACTTCCGACTGTTTTGTTGTTGCTGTTTAGAAACTGCAGATCCAGAGCATGGAGGCCAGAGAAGAGCGGCAGAGCTCCTCCGCCCAGTCCACTCCATCAAACACACCACACAGCTCCCCGAAACAACAACGCAGGTACACACACATCCTGTGGTCTAAATCAGTGGTTCCCAACTGGTGCAGCCACGGGGTCCAGATTTCTCCTTTGTCATTCATTCAAGGTCCACACAGTTTAATATATTCAGCATCATACAGCACTTCAGAATAAAAACTCCACGCCGGAAATTCACTGTGCTTAAAAATAAAGTGTGTTTTTTACAAACTTGACATGTTTGTGAGTCACTTGCAGTTCATTCAGAATGAACCTGTGATCCACCAATTGGGAACCACTGGTCTAATTCCTGTTTAAGAGTCTGTTCATGACCAGAAAACAGTATTAATGCCAAAAGTTTACACTCTGTTTGTTTGTTTTTTAGGGGCTGGTTTGGAAGTACAAGTTCAGAGATCAGCATCAGCTCCTCCAACAGCAGCGTGGATCTGGGAGGAGTAGACACAGCAGTGGGAGGAGTAGGAGGCACGGTTGAGAGGTGGAGTACGTTTGGGCCACGGCCGCTCGTCCACAAGTCGACTTCTGACCTGGGATCAGACTCCACAACCACAGGTAAACAGCATGGCCTCACTGCGGGGTGCTACAGAAAATAAAAGCTCAAAGCTGCAATCGTTCTCTTCTGTTTGTTCTGGCATGTGACGGCATATTTTGTAATAACATCGCATTATGTAACAGCTGGACAGAATGTAAGAAATTAGGTTAGTGGGTGAAGAAATGACCTTCAGACTGATGGTAAACACTAACCAAATTCTAATGTGAAGTTTTTCCGCATTCTGGAGAAAAGTCAGAGCAGACGAGTTCAAATTTAGAGCACTGACAGCGGCTGGGAAACGGCATGTGCGACGATTCAGTCGGTTCGTAAACTATAGGAATCTTTTTTTCCGCAATGACTTTAGGTAGGTAATTTGTTTGTAACTTCAGAGGTTTCTCACTTTTGTTTCACTTGTGATTTGCTCATCCGTCAACTAAAAAAGGTTTCTAGACTTTTCAACACACCAAATAACTTGATAGCTTGATATCATTCATAAGAACGGCAAGAAGCAACACTAACCTGTGCTGATTTAATCATCCATCATAAATGGTTATATATTGACCTTAAAAATAGGGGCTGCTGCAGTAAAGTAACAGATTAACTTCCATTGCGCTGTTCAAATCCAGTTCAACAGAATATGTTCGTCATTAGCAGGAATGTCTTATGGTAACCTAAAAATTGATTTTCAGGTTTTAGGGATTCACTTTTGTTTTTTTCTTCTAATCTATGAGACACTGCTGCCATCAGTGTAAAATTAGGTTTTTAAGATTTTATTTTCAAATTTAAAGGCATTTATTGGCACATACAATATTGTCAGATTGCTGTATGAATATTGAACTGTTTAGAAATGTCATAGTCTAACTGAAAATATTAAGTAAGCAAGTAAAAGGTTATACAGCACTTCTTGAAACCAGGGTTACAGAGTGCCTCACAGTTGTCAAACACAAAAAAGCCTTTGAATAAATATTTCAGTCAAACAAACACAAAAGCCTCCAAGAATGAATAGAAATAAAGTATAACATTTCAATTTAATTTTAATTTATTAATTGACTGTACAGCCTTTTTATTCTATTTATTCTTTTTGTATCTGTCATGATGGTTTTTTACTCTGTTTTTTTTCTTTCTTCTTTTTTTTGATACTAATATGTTTTTTGTATATTTGTACCTGTCTCTTAGTCTGAAGCACTGTTGTCACTGTGTTGTCACTGTCTTACATCTTTGTCCTAAGTGTTGTCTGTGTGAAAGCAGCCGACTCACCTAACCTAACTGCAAACCAAATCTACCCTTGGGTACTAATAAAGTTACCTTACCTTACTTACCTTACCTTTATCGTTAATTAAAAAAAATATTAAAACATTTCTGAACCTTTCTTTACGTTAATAACATTCAGTTGTTTCAGTTTTACTTCTGCACAAGGAGATGAAATGACATTCAGCCTCTTAGACTAATGACACTTAAATACACAAAATATGTCTTACTAATATCATATGTTATACAGTATTTCCCAGTTATTGTATTACCTAGTTATCTTTTTTGGACATAGTTCATTTCAGAATTTTAACAATACAACTCTAACAATTCACTTTACAAACATATTTTGACTGTTAGGTTCCCCTTCCCCTCACGCATAATAACATTCAGAGCAATCAAGCAAAACTTAATTTTAAAGCACATTTTATTCCAGCAACAGATCATTAGGGTGAATCAAATCAATTAAAACTAAGAATAAAACCTAATGAAATAATAATTAAGATGAAGAATAAACCAATAAAAGATACCAAGACATGACTCAGAACTGATTGCAAATTTGTTCAAAGTAAATAAAATAATAATACTAAAAGTAGACTTTTAAAATAAGATAATACATATTTTTTAAGTTTGTAGTTTCTTTGTTATGGACATCACAGCAGCATTAGAAATGTGCATTTATGCACAAGAACCAGATGCCCTGTGTTTAGTGTTTGTAGTAAAGGGTAAACACTTGTCCACATGAGGCCTTTTTCTTTTCTTTCTTTTTTTTTTTTAAGAAAATAAGATATTGAAAAGAAAAGAAAATGCATCTACAAGCACATCCACAGATATGAGTGAAAATAACTAAAAACAGAATAAAATAAGATAAATAGAGCAATAAAAGATGATAGTAAGATAATATAAACCAGTAAAAGAAAAAGCACACCTGAGTTAAAACCAATAAAAGAAATAAAAAAAAACAATTAAATAAGATAAAACAATCGTTAAAATAGTCAAACCAGACTGTCAAACCTGGAATGTGCGGCTAAAAAGGAATGTCTTCAACTTAACCTTAACATGTTTATGTTGTATACCCTTAACAGAGGTTATATAGTATAAACTATGCAATGAAAATGAATAAACATAAATATGCAAATGATGTAAAATAATCACAGTGAAAGAAAAATGAAATTAAAAAATACATTATCATAATAATAAATAAATTACTGCTAAGTTGTTAGGGGTCCAGAGCAGTGGCAGCGGTTCAGGGCTCTTTCCAATACTTAATTTGCAGTGCTCCTAGTTATTACCTAGTTATCATATTACCTAGTTATACCTCAAAGTGGTGTTTCAAATTACACTTTTTATAATCACAAGAAATTGGACAAAACACATACGCAAACAAACGCTCACCCATTCATTCACCCCTTCCTCTATTGTGATAAACACTGTGATGTAATAACCTCAGGTGTCCTGAGCCCTCATTGGGTCACTGTGCAAACTTCAGGTTGAACTTTCAGGACATTCGACCTTTGTCTCTGTGTTGAACAATCCAATAATCGGTGAGGAGCACAAGCTTCCACCAACAGTCCTCTGTTCACCCGCTGAACCTGAACACACCACCTGTGTCACTCATTTAATACATTCCCTGTAAGCAGATTCTTTAGAGGTCGGAGTTAAGTTTGTTTAATGTGAGGCCAATCTGTCCAGCAGACGTCACAGACTGCTGTAAGCGGCTGTAAACAAATCATCCATGGTGGACGCACTCTGAAATAAACAACTTACGAGCTGGTTTTGTTATTTACGGAAGCGTATTGCATTCACCTGACAAATAAAAAAAGTCTGTTTTATTGAGTAATTTTTTCTGTTTTTCTGAGTCATTTTTTTTTCTGTTTTTCGTGGTAATTTTGTTTCTGTTTTTCGTGGTATTTTTTTGTTGTTTTTCAGGGTAAATTTTTCTGTTTTTCTGAGTATTTTTTTCGAGTTAAGAGAGCAATAGAACAACAGACGTTTTCATTTCTTTCTTGAGAGCTCGAAGCAAACATGACCCGCTTGTTTAGTTTAATCCAGTTTTACTCACTTACTTACTACTTACTTGTCTTTATGTCATATAGATGGTGTTATTATTAGTTTGTCAACTTTACGCAGGCACCTTACCATCTATATGACTTAAAGACATTCAGAAAAACAGAAAAAATTACCCCGAAAAACAAACAAACAAAAAAAAACACGAAAAACAGAAACAAAATTACCATGAAAAACCGAAAAAAAATACTCAATAAAACAGATTTTTTTTTATTTGTGAAGTGAATGCAATACGATTCCGTAGTTATTTACATCCTTTGAGCCTTGTGCAGTTTCTTTGCTAAAATATTAGACATTATTATCTTTTCTGTTTCCCCAGCAGGCTTTGCTCTGCAGGCGTACCGCGGCGCCCAGAAGCCAACTCCCATGGAGGTAATGAAGTCACAGGCCACGCGGCTAGCTGACAACCCCGCCATTCAGAAGGTGGCTCCTCCCAAAATGGAGATTCCCACAGTGGAGGGTCGACGACAGGGGGCACGCCCACACAAGCTCAAACCCAGAGACATGAACATCCTGACGCCATCTGGCTTCTAAGAGGACGCATGACGCGTGGAAGCTGCTCGCTCACATTCCCAAAGGTCCCATGAAATGAAAACTTTTCCGTTGCTGACCCCTCCGAAAAATGGATCCTGCAAGTCTGCCTTTGCAGATACATCCATTTTATCACTCTTTCCATTTCCCAGGTTTGACAAACTTCCTCCTCAGTCAGCTGCGGAGGACAGCGCTATTATCAGTGTCCATTTTTCATGTAAAACCTCAAAGCCATTTCATGGGACCTTTAAACAGCAGCTCCAACATTCAGTCCACCATCTTTGCCACTGAAACAATTCCAGATAAAGAAAAGTAGACAACTTCCCATCTGCATTGCTTTGAGTCGTTAATGTGTGGCTTGGCTGTAGAATCATACTCTCTCTTACCCTTCACCCTTTTAACTGTTACACCTGGCTGCAGCATGCTGGCATCAACATGGACTTCTGATGCCAGATTACCTGAAGGGCCACTGACTGATCTTAAGGACTTAAGGACTCCAGCTGATGGTGATCCTGGTTTAAAAATGATCCCCTGTAAATGCACTTTATCCCCACTCTCTCCAACCAGACCCAAACCATCTCGTGTTACACAGCCCTCCAGGACGCAGATAAATGCAAGAAAACTTCTTCATCTTCAGTGTCAATGGTCTCTACATCCTGTCTGTCTCCAGAAACATTTCATTTGTCTCCTTAAAGGAGCATTTCAATAAGCAGGGTGGGAAGAATTAGTCTAACCAAGAACAAGTGTATCCAAATGCAATTGTAAAAGATTTGGTCTCAGGAAATATTTAAAAAATTTGGCACCTGCTTGCTGAAACGTTCCACTATTTGTTTCATGTCTTAATTTATAGGTTTTTTTATATGCTACTGTAGCAACTTATTTAGTATCTTTGAGATCAGAAGAAAATAATTTGTGTAAAAATCAGAGCTGCATGTGGCCAAGACTCACACACTGACAGTGCTGCGGTATTTCAGGGTTTTCAGATTGCTGGATTCAATCAAAATGGAAAAATTACAAAGACTAGAAAAACCTTTTAGGTTTCAGTGTGTGAGCTCAGTGACATGTTTGCCTCTGTGTTTTTTATTACCACCAATCAAATAAGAAGGATTCCTGTCTCCGATGAGCTTTGGCGCTGAACATGCTGTGTGTATGTTGACTGAAGTGACAAATGGTCCTGCAGAAACCTTGTGCCACTCAGAAAAAGTGGAAGAACTTTTCACAGATACACAGAAAACATGTTGCCTCACACTAACGAAAATGACTGACCATGTTGTAGAAAACTGCAGCAAGACTTGAGCGGTTTGTCTGCTGCAGAGATTGTACATTCCTACAGTTCTGTTAAATGACTTTAAACAAGGTTTCTGTGGGATATGTGTGTGAGAAACTCATGTAGCACCTGGCTGATTGTTGTTATTTTTTCTTTTGCTATTTAGTGGAAGCAGTCTGTTTGCTAGTACTGTAATAGATTCCATGCATAATGAAAAAAAAAGACTGAAGAGTTTGTTTCATTGAGTAAAATTTGCCACTGGTAACTGCTGTCAGTTCGATCTTGTGGTGTACACGTCTCAAGTTGGATGCAAAACACAACACAGTCTGCTGTCAGCAGCTGTAAATATTAAATGACTGTTTCTTCTCAGTTAAAGTTTATGTTACATAGTTTGTGTTCACAAGTGCTCGGTGTTTAAAGTGTGACGCTGTTCCCTTTAACTCTCCTCGTAACCGAAGTACCACATCTGAATCTTCTCCGTATGGTGGTGTGGCTCTGTTGTACAAATTAACTGAATCACAGTTTCTGTTTAACTGTTCGACTTTATTCCAGTTGATGAGAAGGAGATATTGTCCTTGATTTCTACATTGTCTGTACACTTTGTTTTTTTTTTTTTTGCCAAAACAGTTTGGAAATTGAGAATAAATGTGACATTCTCAACAGACAAGGGTCAGAATGTTTTGTATGGATAAACAGGTTTTTTTGGTTTGTTTTTTACAATAGATTTTTGCACATCACTGTTTTCTTCCACTGAGTTGACAAAAAAAACGCTTAAAGGAATATCCTCCTGAGACCTTGCGTCCTCATATGTGGACATCACATTTTGGGTTTTTTGTGCCATCTAGTGTTAGTAAGACCATAGTGCACTAATCCATGTAACAACAAGATGGCAGCCATTTCTGCCGAGTCATTCTGCAGAAGGTCCCGAAACAAAAGTGGACAAGGTCCAAAACCTGATCACATTTCAAGGTTGAAACTTGTTTATTTATGATTAATAATGTTTGTAGTTTGATATGGCAACAAATTTGACCAATTTTAGCAACACTAACAAGCGAAGACACCATTAATCAGCAAGTGGTTGTTTGAAAACATTGGGGCTTTATTGTCGTCTTGTTTGAGGACGTTGGGACTTAATTATCGTTGACAGTGTTTAGGATTTTATACTTATCAGGTCCTACTGATCCCAAATAGCTAGGAGAAATTAAAAATGCCTACTAAACAAAAGTTCAGGTCTCAGGAGGATAGTTCATCCAGAAACAATGTAAAGTGTATATATCACTCACCTTCGTTGGCTCTCCATGGTCCCACAGTGTTCTATAGAATGACGTTGAGGAGGGTGGAGCTGCTGAAAAGTGAAAGTATATCAGTGCAAATAGACTTTGACAGAGGTTGAATTTCTTGGACCACAGAGAGCCTAGGGAGGTGAGTAGGCTACCAGATACAATTTATATTGTTTTGGGGTTAACTATTACTTTAAACACAAAAACTTAAAACACTTAAGGTTTAACCATTTATTGCCATTTAAACATTCTATGTGGGCCTGTAGTAGTTTATTTCAGCCTCTAGAGAGCCTCATTTCTTCATCCACAGTTCGCATGTTGATTCCTTAGAACAGGCAATTAAGAGTAAAGAGCAAAATCAAATTGATAACCATGGTTGTGTAGAAACAGTTTTGTTTACGCATTCAGAATTTGGAGGGCAAACAGAACTGAAATTAGTCAGATTGTATTGCTCATCCTGAGTAATCCAGCAGACCTCAGTGATTACTGAATAAAGCAGATAATCTCTGATTTTACAGTCAACTAGCCCCACTGGACATGTGCATGTTCAAATCTGACAGACACACTGAAAAGATTCAGTGAATAAATGATCTTAGTTTATTGACCAGGTAAAGCGAAAGAGTGTTTTATTGCAAAAGCATCCTCATGCAGAGTGAACAGGACTTCTGGTGTCTTTATGTTTGAAAGGGTCTTTGCCTACTTTGAGCCTCTGTGATGCCTGACACTCAAACTGTAAAAACAAAAACATCTTCACCCAGCAAGTAATTTACTATCGCATCCAGTCAGTATATTTTAATTACAGTGAAAAACAGTGTGCAGCCAGAGGGAAAAGATCCCATGAATTCAGAGATCTGTATTTTAAAGTAAACATGATTGCTCTTTTATTAACGTCCATTTTTTCAGAGCAAAGACAAAAGGTCATGATGCTGCGTTCAGGTAACAGTCAGAAGTCAGGGATTCTTGCTGACTTTGGTCCTGAGCTGTGAAAATCAAAAGAGACATGAACATTCAGATTTTAACATTAACATTTTTCCCCTGAGGAAAAGTTTGTCGGGTAAATTCACAAAGAATGGATTTTGGCAGGTGATCACACCATGACATCCAGTACCTGCCCCATGTCAAGGTCCAGTTCACTAAAGATATTGCGCTAATGACATTACAGTGAAAACATGCCCATAAAGTTTTGCAACTGAGTGCAAGTTGCCCCTTTTTTGCATCTGGCCACAGTTATCTATGTGGAAAAGTGTAAATGTTGCCTTTGTGTCCAGAGCACAGCAGGCAGAGCGATGGCAGAGAGAAAAAGAAGACATTTTCAGACCGCCAAATACAGTCTGACCAACGAGGTTCAGAGGCATTCCTCAAAACTTCAGGCAAGGAACTATATTTGGGTCAGCGCTGGGCATAACACCTCTCATAAATGCCCTTCAGTTAACACCATCTCTTTTAAGACACTAATAAGTTCACTGTAACTACGAGTGGTGCTGATCTTTGTGAATTGGACTGTTGTAGCAGTCTGGCTCATTTGCATAGAAAGGGACCAAGTTTGCACCGAATGAATGCAGGTAATTACCTAATTCAAATATGTGCAAGTAGCACTGTAGCACTGAGATACTTTGTTTGGCAGCGCAGTCCGCGGTGCACTTCACCCTTTGTGGGGCTTATCGAACTCTCTTTTTGTCTAATTTTAGATTTAGTGGGCACGAAAATAGTACAATCATTTTGTGAATTCACATAATTTTGTATTTTGGCATTTATCAACATGTAAAAAGACTGGAGTTTACAGTGTGTCTATGCCTCTATGAGATGAGTCAGGTAAATCCAATGCCTTAATTTCCAACCCGGTCTCACTCCGAAGCTGTCGCAATCCGACGCTCAGTCAGTGACTTCCAGCATCAGACACCACCAAAAAAAGCCGTCCTTTCACATCGGTGTGATGCACAGCCGGTTGTGCTGCATCAGTGGGAAACGTGATGGGACAACAATGACAGTTAAGGTGGCAGAAGTCTGAGTAGGGCAGGTGGGAGGGGTGGTGGGTGGGTCCAACAACCACTGACTTTCACCCGGGAAGCCAGTGTTTGCTTCCAGTGAGATAGTAAAGCCAAACCCTGTTCTTTTTTTCTTCAACCCAACCACGTGCTTTTGTTGCCTAAATCCAACCACGTGCGTGTGCCAACATGTGTATTTTGAAAACAGACAATACATGTAACAGGCAGAAGTTGACATGGCATCCCAGAACATCAACAACCAATGCATCCAGGGTACCTTGCACCTCCTATCTCGACGTAGAAAGTCCATGACCAAACGTGGAGATGTGATGAGGTAGGAGTGAGAATGTGTTGGAATTTTCCATGTGGAATTCAAACTTGAAGGGTCATCCTTTCTATTTAGATGACAGAAACTGAAAAACTTCTCTGACATCTCTCGAAGATACTTTTTAATTTCTCTAAAACCTAATGCAGACTACACAGCTTTGGCTGTGCTGTCCCAGATAAACTTTTGAGATCTGCAACCCTTGTGTCATAAAGGAATCCATGCTTTGCCCCGTCATAACAGTTTGTCTTGTCTGAGCCATTCTAGGATGCATCTTGACCTAGTTATGAACTGTTCAAGACACTACAACAGTAAATGACCCAAAAAGATTGTCAGGAAAACAAGGGTGCGGAAGGAGGGAGGCATCAAACACTCCAAAACAACACAACATGGCTTTAAAGAAGGCAAAGACCAGCAATGGTGTTTTCCATGTCATGTGGACACAAGAGATGGACTGATGGACTCTGAGCTGGCATTCTGGCATCATGCACTTCAGTCAAAGTTCTCTACAACTGGAATAATTTTGTAATCAGTAAACGTCATCTGAGATCAGTTTATGTAGGTTGTGGATGTCAACATTACGACAGTCTGCAACAAAACATCTTGTTGTGAGCAATATATAGTCTGGACAGGCTTTGAGTTTGCTTCCTCTTCTAGATCTTTTAGTTTCCAGTTCTTTTCTAGACCTTGTTTGTCCATGGTTAGTTCTGAATATTTGTTTGTCAAAGGAAACCTGGGTTTATGTTAAGTAATGCCTCACCTCAGGCTCCCCATAAAGACACAGTTTGGTGACTTTGCATAAAGCAGGAAGACACTTATAGTGTCCATCAGTTGCTCGGCTAAACCGATCCAACAGTCAGGTCCATTTATTCACTGCACAGGTGAAGAAGCTCGCCTACATCCAAAACTGTTCCTCAAATTCAAGCTGTCTAGCCATCTTCTAGAAACTGTGAACCAACTCAGCCTGGTTAAAATGACACACACGATCTTATTTCTTTAGACTGTCCAATGGATCAGACAATAACTCATTACATTTCTTGCCCTGACTGTTTCCTGTCAGGGTTTGATGCCCTCACGGTCTTCCTTCAGAACCAACTCAGAGGAGTTGTATCTCTCGTCAAGATCATCTCTGTCCATGCATCCCTTTCATCAAGCTCTGTGCAACAAACCCTCCCTTCCTCTTTAATATCCTCTGACCTATCTGTATACTTCAGAAGAATTCCTCTATTTTCTCTTTCTATCAATCTTCAGAGACTCCCTCCTCCTCTTGCTCCTTCACCCCCTCCTCTTCTTTTGACGTCTCCATACATCTGAAAGAACAGCTCCATCTCTCTTTGCAGCGTGTTGTTTCGGAGGTCGGCATCGGCTTTGGCTCGCTCCATGTTGCGGATCTTGATCTCAGCGACACTTCGACTGCGCCTCTGCTGCTCCAGGCTGACCCGCAGTATGGCAACCTGCCGCTCCAGGACATCATTACAGCGCTCCAACCTGCAATACGCATATATACCATACAGTGTATACACTTATACAACAAACACTTGCTAGATGTCATACTTTTGAAATATCAGTTAAAATAAGGGCCACTTTGAGTATTTATATATATTGTCTCACCTCTGTATCCTGGCCTGGTATTCAGCCTTCTGCCTGGCCATCTGGAGCCGCAACTCGGCCAGGAGTGAGTTAGCATCCCCGGGCTGTGATTGAGGCTCAGGGTCCTGGAGATCTGGAGGACCAGAGGGTAGGAACACATCTGAGCTGCCTGTGCTGAGAGGGCTGTCACTGAGTGCACAACCGGAGGCTGGGGAGTTAGGGTGGTGGACATCATCATCATCATCATCGTCTTCATCACTATCATCATCGTCATTGTTGTCTTCATGAGCGTCATTATCACTGCTTTCCTCTTCTGCTACCTGACTTGATGGTAACCTTTCAGGTCTCTTTGGTGACACATCAGGACTAACCCCGCCCACGGCTTCACTGCCTTCATCCAATGGTAGACCCTCGTAAGAAGACCATGAAGAAGATGAGTCCCTTCTCGGCCTCGCCTCCTCTAACCTCACCTCCTCCTCACAAGCTCCAATATGGCCTCCTGGATCATTGGTTTCTTCAGTGACACCTTCCATCCTCTGACATGGAGACACTCTGTTCAGGTTGTCATAGGCTGAAAGGTTGCTATCCTCCTGATCCTCACTGCTGTCCCTGCTGGCTGTTCCTGGCACTGAATCCTCTTCCTCTGCAGCACCACAGGTCCAGAAACCAGGGCTTGTCTCTGCAGGGCCAGGCCAGGCCTTTGCCCAGCCCAAGAGCATCGGTCTGGGACTGGAGCCATCTGGCAGTGGGTCTTGTAACTGGAGGCTGGTTGTAGAAGATTGAACATTTGCAGGGGACAGTCCTTGGCCAGCGCGGTGCTGGTGATAATCTAGGTTGTGTCTGTCAGAGTGGTGCTGCAGGGGCTGACTGGAGGAAGGTAAAGGGTAGAAGCAGTTCTCTGGGTGAGAGGAGGTGTAACGATGCCCAAGAAATTTCTTCTGGCCAGAGGAAAGGTCTGATTTGGCAGCAGCAGAGTAAATGCAGCTACAGAAAGAAAGAAAAGGGAAATTAATTATTTCAAGATGATCCACTCAAAGATTTTCTCTCGACTAAAGTCATTTCTCTAGAAAGGACCACACTAAAACAGCATGTGATTAGAGGTTTTGTCATGTAAGGTAGAATTGGGCATTGAGGATGGATGTGTGTCAGAAAAGGAGTGAACATTGGAAGAAAAGGTGCTTCACTATGTGTGTGAACAGTATCCTGTGACCAGTATGTGTAGTCTATCCTTTTTCAGGTCTCCATGGTGGAGTTGCCAGAGCACCAAAACAGAACGTGAGTCCATGGGGTGTTTGCATGAGATCGTCTGAGATCGTCGTCTGTGGAGAAGCTTTGTTAGAGCAGGTCTGCTGTACCTGGGGTTCTGTTCATCTGCAGCAGGCTGTCCTGCCTCTCTGGAGCGCTCTACAATCAGAGGCATAGAGAGCTGGCGGAGGCAGGGCGACGGGTGGAGATGAGGCTGCCTCAGAGCACTTGGTGATGCGTGCGGACCTCCAAGTGGACGGGCAGAGATGGGTGGGGGGACTTTAGCAAACAGAGACTCGTGCTCTCTGATCAGCTCCAGCATTAGCACCTGGACCAGTCCTGCACCTAGAACATGGATAGAGAGATATTCTTGACAAAGAAGATACTCGTCAAAGACACATTTTGTTCTTTTAGGTTTTTTATCATTCACTAAACCAACACTGAAAACCCTGACCCATGCATCACTAGTGGAGGCTATGGTCAGCTTGAATTGATACATCTCTGCAGCATGGTCCAATATTGCTAAATACAATGCTTGTGTATCAAGTCTCATTTCTCAACTTCTAGAGCTAATAGGTAAGCACTTAGGTTGTTTTCAGCCAAGGCCGCCTTGTGTACTTCTCATTAGAATATTGCTCTAATGAGAAGATAAAAAGACATAAATCAAAACTACTGTGTAGCTTCTTCTATTTGGGTAAAACATCTTTCATATCATTCCAATGAAATTAGTTTTTTTTAACGTTTCCAAAAAAAAAATTTTTTACATTGACATCACAGATGCTACACAAAACACAAAAGAGAAATGAATCACTCTGTGCTTTCTACCTCCCATGATGCTTTGAGGATCTTCAGCTTTGCCACGGAGGATGTTTGGCCCGAACACTGTAGCCAAGTTCTGGCCACTCATCTTGTTACTGCTGGAGTAACTCTGGACCTCATTTAGAAACCTGCACACATTCACAGGAGCCTTATTAATACTCTCTGAATGTTCTTCCTGTCAAGGCTGGAAAGCCTCTGAAACATTAATAGTCCTTTACAGGATTAGAAGAAACCCTGTTTTTGAGGTGATAGATTCTGCATTTAATCTATAAATTTGGATTAACCTTCTTACTTGCTGTTGTTTTGAACGCATTTACAGCAGCCATGTAAAGCATAAACAAACATTCAGGAAGTCTCAAGTTTACCCATTTACATCCACTGTTTCCACCCAGTATTCCATAGAACGGGACAAATGATTGAATGAAAACCTGGCTATATAATAAGGTAGAAGGGAGTCTTACTGGCAGATAAAGTTGAGTAGGTTGAAGTTTGCAACTGGCAACTCATGAAGAAGATTCCTCAACTCCCCCAAAACCTGAGAGAGGAAGCAATGGGGAAAAATAAGAGGATGTGAGGATGGGAGCCAGGAAGGGGGGAAGAAAAGAAGCATTGGTGCTACCATACTAAAAGTTTTTTATATGTTTACTGGAAGGATGTAAGTAGCAAAAAATGTTGCACAGAACCAGCAGAAGCCAGGATGGGGATAACATGTAAATAAAGCAAAACACTTTTATAAAAGTGGCTTTGCAATTGTGTTTTGTTAGTCCTGCAAAATATACCAAAGGTAAAGATGACTGTACCATTAAAGAATGACTTAACACCAGGCTGAAACAGTGTTTTGTTGCACCTGTAAACACACTTAACAGTGATGTCACAGGGCCCCGCAGTGCACCTACACATCACTGCAGTCAGGTGAGAAGTTAAACCACTGATGGTCAGCAAAGACACGATTTTCAGGGGGTGTTATGTTGCTCTAACTAATGAATTGTTTGACAGCATTGTGGACAGAGCTGCAGTTACCAGTGTGCGGTTGCTCGACAGCTTCTGGCCACAGAGCAGGAAGTCCTGGTAGCGGCTGTAGGGAACCAGAGGCTCTGGCAGCTGTCGGAGGTAGAGCTTCAGTAGTGATGCTACTGTGTGGACGTCTGTACTACTGCAGGCAGAAGAAACAGCAAGCTAACTACTTTCACAAAACCGACTGAAGAACAAGTGAGTGGAAAACAGTACAGGCCAAATATTGTACCTGTCAAAAGACGGTCTTTCCCCTGCATCAAAAGCCTCCTGCAGCTCTTTGACCAGACTGGCCCGTCCGGGCTGGCGAAACAAGCCCACTTCATGTAGGCCACGCTGCCGAATAAAGGTCACACACTGCTCCACCACCAGAGGAACCAAACGCACCCCATAACGTCGCTCATACAGCACCGTCTCCTCCAGTCGCTGACCAAAGACCCCTGCGATGCAACTGTCACAGTTATCCTCATAATGGACATTCACCACAATCAAAAAATATACAAGTAAAGATACTAATTATGCAAAATTGTCCATTTCTGAATAGTATATACTATATAACTGGGTTATAATTATGGATGCATTAATATGTTTGTAACTTTAATGGTGCACCTGGATAAAGGTGGAGTTAATATTAGTATACTTAATATATTGCTGGGGCGGCATGGTGGTGTAGTGGTTAGCACTGTCTTCTCAAGGCAAGAGGGTTCCTGGTTTCAACCAGGAAGGAGCCCTTCTGTGCGGAGTTTGCATGTTCTCCCTGTGTTAGCGTGGGTTCTCTCGGGGTACTCCAGCTTCCTCCCACAGTCCAAAGACGTGCAGGTGACTCTAAATTGTCCGTAGGTGTGAATGTGAGCGTGAATGGTTGTCTGTCTCTATGTGTGTTAGCCCTACGATAGTCTGGCGACCTGTCCAGGGTGTACCCCGCCTCTCGCCCAATGTCACATTTTAGGAAAGCATCTGAGCACCATGTGTGTGTCAGTGTTTGTGTACCTGTGAAAGGGATCCAGACTCCTTTGTTGAGGCTCTTTAGCCACTCGTCACCCTGACCAGCACTGTTAGATAGAAAGAAATACGAGCCTGGGCTGGCCAGCACATCTCTGTTACCTGCGTATAGACAAACATGGAGGGGGCTCATCCAAGTCTCAAGCTTTTATAACCAAGTCACAATGCAAGTCAACATGCAAGTCTGTCACCTCGGACCATAACAATGACATAATGCTAATTTCTTTTTTTTTTTTCTATTCTTTAAGAAAGTGACAGTAAACCCTTAAGTTGTACCTGAACAAAGAACAAAAAATGAACATGGGAACACTCAGCACCTATCAAACGTATTTTAAGCCCCACTATCAGCTACCATTAACACACTCACACACACACACACACACATACAGTACATTTTCTTCCTCACCCCTTCTCCCTATCTTCATCTCGTTAACACACTTCTCCACCATGTCCCATAATGCTCTGCTGTCTGTCCTCCGCAAAGTCACATCAAACGCACACAGACATGTACAGCACATGTATGTATGAAACACACACACACACACACTGTCACCTCAGATGGAAGATCCTGAGTCAGCATTTAACAGATGTCACTGAAGGGCAACACACACAACTCGAGTTCTGGAGGGATTAACAATTAATATGTTGATGGTTTGTGTGTGTGTGTGTGTGTGTGTGTGTGTGTGTGTTGGTGTGTGTGTGTCTCACCTTTGTGGCCTGTACTGTCATGTTTCCAGGACTTGAAGCAGCTGAGTCCCATGCTGCAGCGCTCCTGCTATGGTTGCTACGTTAATGGTTGTAGATGCTCAGTGCAAATTACACACAATAATGTGAACTTTTTTCTTTTGATGCCAACATTTCTTTAAGATAAGAGGACAAGACAGCAGCGGTGCATAAAAACCACATCAGTCATGGTTTTTCTTTTTTATCACCCTTCAGTTTTAGGTCCTCATTACCACCCAGAGTCTCAGTTTCAGCTTGTAGCATTTAGACTGAGTGTGGAAAGCTCCTGGTTTCTTAAAATCCTGGTAGATGTATGGCCACAAAGAGATTTTCCTGGAGGGGGAGGCCTTAAAAAAGAGATTTTCTCAGTGGATATGGACCCTTTAATACAGGTTCCTGGGTATTTCACCTTCACGGATGGATTCAAGTAGATACTGTTGGTGGATAGAGAGGTCCTTGGTAGATATTTAACCTCAAGTTCCTCATGGATATTGTCTTAGAAGAACTTAAAGAGGTTCTTGGTTGATAGTCCCTTAAGTATAGTGTATCTCAGAGGTTAAAAACCCTTAAAAAGAGTGAGAGGAGAGCATATAAACCTGAAAGAGAGCTTCCAGGTAGTTATACAGTTCCTGGTGGGTATTTGAGATAAAAATACAGTATCGTGTAGGACATTCAGACATTAAAACATTACCGAGAGGACCCAGAAGAGGATTTCCAGTCGGAAAATGGTTCTTTGCAGATGTGTAGCCTTGCAGAGAGGTTCCTGGTGTTCATGCTAACCTCTAGTTAGCCTAGATGGACAAAAAGTGTTAAAGAGAGGATCGTGGTAGATACAGAACCTTAAAAACAAGCTTTTTTAAAGGTTTCTTATCATTAAAAAGAGGCTCCTTGTTGATAAAGAGAACTTTCTTGTGGATATGAGGCCTTACAGGAAGATATTAACCTCAAAGGGAGGTGTGTCTGACGGACGCCGAGCCTTAAAAGGAGACCTTTGGATTCAGGATCACACCTTCAGGAGCGATTCCTGGTGGACAAATCCTTTATGCGAAGTTCCTGGGTGATGTAAAGTCTTTAAAGGGGGTTCTGTGTGGAAATGCACTGTAACAAGACGTTCCTGGTGGATATGGGGAGAAAAGTCCCAGGATGCTGCAACCTTTCCCAGCTTAGCAAACACACAACTCTTCTCAAACCATTCTTAAAACATTTTTCCCTTCTCTCCTTGGAAATCTCCATTGGCCTCGGATGCACAGACAGTTTCTGATTTATTAGGTAGAGTCAACATTTTATTTCCAGCATGTGTTTCCAGCCTCCTCCTCACAGGACCCATCTCTCCAGGTGCACCGCGAACACAAATGTCCCTCTGGTTTCCAAATAGTTCCTGACAGAAAGTACGAAGAAATGGTCTCAACATACATGTGCCTTCAAAATGTTCCAAGTTGCTCGTTGTAGGAACTTCTTCAGACTAAATGCGCCGGTTCTTCTTAGTACAACTTGGACAAGGTACCTCAAATAATTTTGGGTGCATCAGTCCACATCCACTACCCAAGATACCCAATCTTCATTTGTCCTTTAGGTGTTTTAAAGGGGACAGACTTTGTGGAGAACACACCCATGAACTGAAAACTGTCTCTGGTCCGCTAAAGCAGCAGGAGTGAGATGTCTGACTTTGGCATCCTATCTTTGGAGTATATCATGATGGCTGTCTCAGCATAATTCCACCTGTCTGTTTCTCTTTATTTCTGTCTTTTCAAATTATACTTCTTCTCAGCAGCTGTCAAAAAGTTCAACCATCCTGAAGGAACATTATTCTTTTTCTTGTCTCTTCCGCCGGCCATAGAGTCAAGCTACTCCATCCAGAGAGACATTCGTAGCACTCCCTCCTGCATCCTTGTCTCCCTCTCTGTCCTTTGCTTTATTAGCTCTCTAAATGGACGCCCTGCTCCATCTCCAGAACACAGTCTACACATCTGAATGTCCACATCTTCGTCATCCCCATCCCTCTTCTTCCTCTCCTCCTTCACTCCGTCCCTTTTTTCCTTCCTATATGTCTCTCTCCGGTTGTCCCTCTCTTTGTCCCCGTCTAGCTCGTCCTTCTGTCTCGTTCCTACTATCCTCACCCTCTCTCTGTCTCGCTCTCCCTCTCTCTCCATTTCCCAGCAGTGTGTGTGCCCCCTTGTTGCCCCCTCCCCATTTACCTCATCAATAACCATGCTGTGTGTGTGTCCGTGTGTGTGTGTGTGTGTGTGTGTAGGCTGTGCATTAGGAAAATTGGTTCTCTGCGACGCAGCGCTGTTTTACCAAAGTAATCACAGCTGATGGTGAGAGAGGGAGAGAGAGAAAGAGAGACAGAGAGAGAGAGATGATCTGGCTCAAATTCTGCTGCTGAAGTATGGTCTGCTGCTGCAGCGTGCGCGCACACAAACACACACACACACACACACACACACACACACACACTGTCACCATGATTCAAGTGGACATAAAAGCAAGAAAGGCTGGTCGGCCCAGTCAACTTTTGAACTCAATTAAAGTATGAGGAACCTCTCCCTCAGTACAGTCTAATTCAATAAACCTCATTGCCCTACAGTATATTGCTAAAGCTTTGATAGTAATCAACATATGCAATCAAATATTACAGTAACACCTGTTCCGCCTACATGCTAAAATACTTACCAAACCAGTGGTGGAAGAAGTACTCACATCTTCTCCTTCAGTAGTAGTGTAGTAGTCGAGTATTTCTAAACTGTGACAAAAGTAGTGTTGTCACAGTTTAGAAATACTACAAGAAAAACAAGAAAAAGTGCTATTGCCATGCTGACTGCAGGAATGTTCGCCGGAGCTGTTGCCTGTGGACTGAATGTTCATTTCACTACCATAAGCTGTCTCCAATGCCATTTCAATGAATTTGGCAGTACATCCAACCAGTCTGCACAAGTCAGCAGACGAGCTTCCCTGAGATGGCTTTTGACAGTTTGTGCAAAAATTCTTCGGTTGTGCACGAATTGTTGCATCAGCTGTTTGGGTGACTGGTCCCAGAAGATTTTGCAAGTGAGGATGCTGGATGTGGAGGTCCTGAGCTGGTGTGAATAAACGTGGTTTGTGGTAGTGAGGCCGGTTGGATGTCCCGCCAAATTAACCAACAACATTGGAGATGGGTTATGGTAGTGACATGAACGTTCAGTTTATGGGCAACACCGCTGGTGGACAACCCTGCAGTCAGCATGGTAATGGCACGCTCCCTCAAAACTTGTGCAAGAGGGGGTGTGCTGGTGGAGGAGCTCAGACAGGTAGGGGGGAGCCAGGTCATGGAGGGCTTTAAAAGTGATGATGAGAAGTTTGAAGTGTATACACTGGGGGATGGGGAGCCAGAGGTTATGAAGCACTGGGTTGATGTAATCACGGGTGCGGGAGAGTGTGTGTGTGTGTGTGGGAGTCTGGGGGTCCATGTGGAGGAATGAAGGTGAAGGGAATTGTGTGGAGAGCAGGTGAAGCTCGCAGACAGGTGAATGGTGATCCTGGAGCACAGGAAAACACAGGTCAATGGCACAAAAACACAAAGATGCCAAGTTACAAGAATAAACTTAGTCAACAGTGATGCGTAGCTAGCTACCACAAAAAGTTGAACCACAATCTGGTGGTTGAAGAGCAGGGATAGAAATGCGGCATGTGGATGAACTGATGAGAGGCAGGTGTGCTTGATGAGCTGATAGCATACAGGTGCATGTGATGAGCAGAGCCAGGAGCCAGGGAAATCACAGAGGGAGACCACGCCCACACCTGCACACACAGACAAAAAACGTCAAGATGATGTTGGCATGACACATTTGGAAGATGTTTTATTTCAGTCACTCAACAACACAACTTAAAACCAACAAAATATAAACGTCATCGGTCGACAGTGTTCTATGTCATATTGACATTGGCATTAGATGTTGTCCTGACATTGAATTTTGGTCACCAGACATCACAACCTAAATTCAACCAAGTATCAATGTCTAAGAATGTTGGTGGCCAACTGGGTAGAGGATGTTTTTACTTACAACCCTGGAAGAAAACCTGGAAGACAAAAAAAAAAAGACCTGTTTCAGAACAGCTATAGATGATTTAGCCAAAATGGAAGCCAATGTTGACTGTTGGTAGGAGACTAAATGCAATGGCAATCTCTGGTGTCAAAGGCAGACGCTATGTTAGCCTGACTCAAAGGGTTTGCAGTGATGTAACAATGTCTGACAGACAACCAAAGGTCATTGTCAGGTAAACAAAAAAAATAGGTCATTTTAAAAGTGACAGACTCACAGCCCACTAAATATCAAGGCTGTTCTGTACGTCCGCTTGTTTGTGTGTGTCTGATAGACTGAATTCTAATCACAGCTGAGAGCTTTCACATGTGTCTGTCGATACAACTGGCATACTCTTCATTACAAAGTGCTGCGTGTGTGTGTGTGTGCTCTCCGCTAAATGAAATCCGTCACCTCCTCTCCTCTTCACCGTGACTGCACGTCTGTAATGAATCACATGCATGGAAATATTGCTAACCAGGAGCATTCACTTTGTCTCTGTCAAGAAAAATTGACCTCACTGTCTGCAGCTTGGAGAGAAAACACAAAATCCAACAGCAACGCCCCCAAGTGGTTACACACTATAACTACAATATGAACCACTTGAACTATCCAGTGGAAACAATGGATAATGATGGAAGACCTACTCTGATCTGTTACTCATAATACCACATTGTAAAAATACCCTATTTACAAGTAAAATCACTGCATTCAAAATCATACTTTAGAAGGTATTAGCATGAAATGTACTTAAAGTATTAAAAGTGAAATGCAAAATTAAATGTGTATGCATCCACACAAATGGGTATGTACATTATAGGGTGCAAGAGGGTAGTTATACGCACGTCACTTAGGTGCAAGGCTGGCACAAAAACATGAATGAAAAAGAGGTAAAGCCTGCACACTTACGCCATGCCACAAAGCAAACAACGTTTCTATCCCAGAGGGATCTTCGTTAGGTCTGAATGTACATTATATAACCATGACCACATGCACACATATATAGAATGATCATAATCTCAACAGTGCATGCCAGAGTTTGGGAGCCCTGACAGCAAAAGCCTGAGCCCCTCTAGTTACAAAATTTGTCCTGGGAACAGCGAGAGGTAGCCGACAAGATTATCTCAGAGCATGTTCAGGCTCATAGGGTGTTAAAAGATCCATTATGTTCTCTGGAGCTAGTCCAAGTTGTGCTTTAAAGGTGGGTAATAAAATTTTAAAACTAATTCTAAATTGTAGACGAAGCCAGTGCAGTGAAGCCTAGGACAGGTGTAATGTGCTCTCTTTTGTTAACAGGGTGTGTTATATACATGGAGTTAATTTTAACAACTTAATATATTGTTATGTGCTTAATTTACAAGAATGCATACTATTTTATACACTGATATGATGTTTTACATGTTAACTTTACATGTTAAATACAGCTGTCAGATAAATGTAGTGCAGTTAAAGTACAATATATGCCTCTGAGATGTCGTGAAGTAGAAGTATTAAACAGCATAACGTGGAAAGTACAAGTGCCTCAAAATTCTATGTACTTAGTTACATTCTACCACTGGCACTGAACCAGGTACAGCTATTAAATTGTACCTAGTGTTAATACAGGTAAATACAGCATGTGCAGTAAAAATGCAATAAATGTGGAGTTTTCCTTTGTTTTCATGGAATTTTCTGGTTTCATTTCACTCAACATTAACTGTGACGACAGTAGTGGCTCATATGTATTTGGCTCCTGTAAAAAAAAAAAAAAAAAAAACCCTCTTCATCTGCTAAACATTGACTGCACCATTGAAAAACAGTTGGACATAATTTAACGTTCATTATGAGGACTCTTCTAGTCTCTTGGTTGTTTTGCCTGGCCTGGCTCTCTGTCCCAATCATCTGAATTCCTCCTCTACCTGCACACCTGTTTCCACTTCTCCTCATCAGGCCTGCAGT